GCGGGTAAAGAGTTAATGAGGCTAAATGGACTCCGCTGGCCAGTGGCTGATGCTCTCTGTTTCGGCAGGTTTTAGGCCGGTTGAAAGACGAGGAGGTGAGATGTCGGAAGTATCTGCACCCCAGCTCTTACGCCAAAGTCATCCATGAATGTCAGCAGAGGATGGTGGCCGATCACCTGCAGTTCCTGCACGGCGAGTGTCAAAATATCATCAGACAGGAAAAGAGAGACGGTCAGCACTTTAGTTACACTTATAACCAGTTTGAGCTTTCACTTTCGGCTTATGGATTTATGTTTGTATGCATGCGTCTCAGTTGGCATGTTATAACTGTAGGACGTCCTGATGGTTTGTTTGGTTTCAGATATGGCGAATATGTACACGCTACTGCGAGCCGTGTCCAGCGGCTTACCTCACATGATCCAGGAGCTCCAGGTCCACATCCACGATGAGGGTCTCAGAGCCACCAGTAACCTCTCTCAGGAAAACGTAAGTGTCTAAAAATGATGCATAGCTAAATAAAAAAACTTTATGTACAGAATTGTTTGTATATAGCATTAATTGCATGTTTTCCTCTGATCTTTGTCCTGCAGATGCCAACCCAGTTTGTGGAGTCGGTGTTGGAGGTTCATAGTAAATTTGTCCAGTTGATTAACACAGTGTTGAATGGGGTGTTTTCCTTCTGTCTAGCTGACAATAAAACCGTTAAACCTTAAAGCATTTAAAACTATTTAATACTTCCAGGCTAGGCTTTGTCAAGCCAACATCAAAGTTTGTCGTCAAATGTTACTCAGCTTCTTTCCTTTGTGGCACCCCAGGGTGCGTTGCACCCCGGTTGGGAAACACTGGTCTAGCTGACAATAAAACCGTTAAACCTTAAAGCTTTTAAAACTATTTAATACTTCCAGGCTAGGCTTTGTCAAGCCAACATCAAAGTTTGTCGTCAAATGTTACTCAGCTTCTTTCCTTTGAGACCTTTTTAAATTTTGTGTGGTGTTTTCAGTATTTTGTGGGTGACACTTACTGATTTTTTTGTTTTTCTCTTCTTTTAACCATCGTTTATTCTTAGTTTTACGCCAGAATGCTTGCAAAGAGGTTAATACATGGACTTTCATTATCCATGGACTCAGAGGAAGCCATGATCAACAAACTGAAGGTACAGCAAGTCTCTCACACAGCCGTCTTTCTTGAAAAGTGTGTAAAAATGTTCACAGATGTGACTCGTCCTCCATAATCAAGTGTTCGCTCGCTGTGGGCGCCACAGCTTTGTCATTATGTAAAACTGCGGATGGGACTGATGAAGGGTTTCGTGTGATTAAAGCGAGCAGACCTTTCATTGTTTTTCTCGCTCTCGGTTCCCTCCCCTGCCCTTTGCCTCGCAGCAAGCGTGTGGCTATGAATTCACGAGCAAACTGCACAGAATGTACACTGATATGAGCGTCAGCACCGACCTCAACAACAAATTCAACAACTTTATCAAAACCCAGGAGACTGTCGTGGACCTGGGCATCAGCTTCCAGATTTATGTATTACAGGTAAGAGAGAAGGAGAAGCATTCATTGTTTGAATAAGTAACATTTACTTTCCCACATAACGTCTAGTAAAGCTTAAAGGGGTCCTATTATGCTCTTTTACAAAGTCTTGATCTTGTTTTGGGGGTGTACTAGAACAGGCTCTCATACTAGGTTGTTCGAAAAACACATTATTTTTCACATATTTTACATTATTACAACACCTCTCTCTCTCCGCAGTCTGGCATGAACGGCTCGAATAGTTCCTGTATAATAATCCTGTATAATGTAAAATATTAGGGCTGTTAATGGCTTTTTTAAAAAATAATGTAATCAAATCAATTTATCAATATGCTGATAAAAAAATATAATAAATTGTATATAAATTATATTTAAATATTCAATAATTATTTCATATCAATAATTATATAATTTCAATGTTATATATATATATATATATATATATATATATGTGTGTGTGTGTGCGTGCAATTAATTACAATTATATCAATAGTAATATAGTAATTATTTAAATAATTAAATAAGTCATTATTAAATTATAAAACAAATTAAATACATTTCCAAATAAATTAAATAAATTCTGAGATCACCGCTATTTTGTCATTTCAACTATGAGAATGTTAAATGACTGTCTACATTTATATTTTGAGGGATTTTGCTATTTATTTCAAACGCAAAATAGTAAGCCAAACACAACAGAGGTCATTGACATATAAAAGGCTCAATAAAAAGGTGAAAAATGATCATAAAACAATACATTATGACTGTACCATAAGTGGGGAAGCTATAGTAATGTAAAATATGTCTATTTTCCATGTGTTGATCATGCGCTGGTTGTGTGAGCTGACATGCGCTCGTATGTGTTTCAGGCAGGCGCGTGGCCCCTCACACATGTCCCCTCTTCCACGTTTGCCATCCCGCAGGAGCTGGAGAAAAGTGTACAAATGGTAAGCTGCCCTGTCAACAAGCTCCAAAACACGATCTGTCATGATTAGGGGCAAGAGCAAAGCTTGTTTCATGTACTGAGAGCTGAACATGTCAAATCCCCCTTCATTTCATTATGAAAGTAAGTGACCCTGATTTAACTGATGTCTTCTTTCTGCAGTTTGAGTTGTTTTATAACCAGCACTTCAGCGGAAGGAAGCTGACCTGGCTACATTATCTCTGCACAGGTAAAGTCGGTCATATAGAGACATACACTACATTTCAAAAGTTTGGCGTTGGTAAGGTTTTTTTTTTGTGTGCATTTTTTCTGCATTTATTTTGACACACACACATATATATATATTACAATTAAAATATTATTACAATTTAAAGTAACTGCTTTCTATTTTAATATATTTTAAAATTTATTCCTGTGATGGCATAGCTCAATAAAAGTATTAATTTCTTTAAAAAATTATATTACTGACCTCAAGCTTTTGAATTTTTTAATAACTTCTGATTACCGCCTTTTCTGATTCTCAAACTGCCTATCAGCATTAATCAGCATTGATTGAAAATACCAATATTGTATTATTTGATGCACAAATTCCCACAATGCTGGCAAGCTGATATATGTAAATATTAGGGATGTTAAATTTTTTAAAATCAAATTAATTACACAGGGCTTAAAGTTCTCCGGCACCGTGCCGGATCTCCGGCGTGCAGCGTTTGGCTGCGGAAAAAAATAGTCCTACATTAAAAAAAAAATATTGTTGATTGATATCACTTTCGAGTTCGCCTACCAATGGTATGAGATGAGCACAGCTTTCACTCTCAACCAAACTAACATTACTAGCCAATCAGAATGTTTTGCTCTTATAAACACGAGACGGGCATAATAGTGTCCAACTGCAGAGTCGCAGTCCTGATGAATGGAGAAGCGCGACAAAAAGCATGTCAAAGATGTCCATCTAGCGCATATTTACATAGAAAAACTAATTAAAAAGTCAATTGTCAAAATAATCAGTTGATTACTTGATTAATCTACTGATTAATCATTAGTTGCAGCCCTAGATTAGTTAAAATATTTCTAAATATAACTGCATTGTTCTACTTTTTGTAATTAAAAGACACGTTTTGTCATTGAAAATTTCTTAAAAATAGCATTAAAATATTGTCACGTTCTAGTGAACCAAGTATCTGTATTTTGTCTCATCTCGTGAGCTAAGTGTATTGTCACACCCCTAGTGTCGATAAGCGGTGATATAGCTCATAATTTTCCAAGTGTATGATACAGCTTTCATTCTTCAGGCCAACCATATATTGTTGAAAAAAAAATCAGTTTGAATAAAGAAAGCAATAACTTTGCCATAGTATCCTTTCAGATGTTAAAGTTGCCACAGTCATTGCATGCTTTGCAAGTGCTGCCCTGCCCCCGGAAAAAAGTTCAGGCTCAGGATTTTTTTTTGCTTTAACCCCTGATTACAGGATATGCTGATTAAAAACACTAATTAATTGTAATTAATCACATATATCAGTATTACCTGAGAAAACCTCCCAATTAGTTAAATAATTATATTAGTATTTAAATTAGGGATGCACCGAAATAGAAAAACGGCCAAAAATATTCGATGCGCCGCATCGCCCAGCAGTGTTGCATAGAACTGAATAAAAATAATATAATTTATACAATATAAAAATTATATAATATAATTTTTTTTGCCCAATTTCATTGTTACTTTCAATAAAAGTGTGATTATTTTATTGGCTTGTGTTTTTTAAATTCAGTATTCAGTAATTAAAATTACTGAGTTAAATTAAAAAGTCTTACAAAATTACTTTATATTATTTAATAAAATAATAAATAATTATTGCAAAGCATTATCAGTTTCGGTTTTCGGCCAAGTGCATCCAGAATTTTTGGTTTCGGCCCAGAATTTTCATTTCGGTGCATCCCTAATTTATGTAATTTTTTTTATTTTATTTAAAATAAATAAATTTTGAATTGACAGATCTAGTATATTGAACTTGCATATTGCACTTAATTTAATTTCCGGTTACTACACCTACACCATCTGCATTCTTGATTTTGGTGCAGAGGTTGATGTAGTGTAGTGTAGGTGTAGAATTTAATCTGATATGCGTGAGATAATATTTGTTGGCTGGTGCTGTGGAAGTCTGATTAGCGGCATCTGGTATTTCTACAAAACCACAGCAAATCCTTGCCACGGTTCAGCAGCAAGAGTCGGATTATCACACTGAGCTGTGACAAAATATCCTGAGTAATCCGTCAACTCAGCAGGACAAGCAAAATACAGTCACACTTACAGTGTGCAGACACAGACAACAGACAGAAGCTTCAAAGTGGAGACGATTTTAGCAGAACGCTAACCATCACATACACTACATAACCCAAATGTTTGAACACACCGACATTTATATTTACTATTGTCCAGAGTAATAATAAATTCATGAAGTTTATGAAATAGCAAATTGAAACATGGAATATATGTGGTGAACAAACCAGTTAAATCAGAACTTAATCTTATATTTAAGCATCTTCAAAGCTCTGCAAACTCTCTCCAGTGTATATGCTGTTAGTGTTTATTTATTAATATTTTTTAATAAGTTTTATTTGGGAGCACTTTACAATAAGGTCTGATTTGTTAACATTAGTTAATGCATTAAAGGGGTCATATGATGCGATTTCAATTTTTCCTTTCTCTTTGGAGTGTTACAAGCTCTTGGTGCATAAAGAAGATCTGTAAAGTCGTGAACTAACAATAAACAATATATTTATACAGCATTTATAAACATTTGTTAATGTTCATGAAAAATGTTCATTTACATTGCTAAGTACATTAACTAATGTTAACAGATATAACTTTTGATCTTAAAAATATATTAGTAAATGCTGAGATTAACATTAAGATTAATTAATGCTGTAGAAGTATTGGTCATATTAACTAATGTCGTTAACACATGTTAATGAATGAAAACTTTTTGTAAAGTGTTACCTTTTATTTTTAGATTATTTTTATAGTATAGTTTTTATTTTATAGTATATAATATTAGGGCTGTTAATGGAAATGAATTACATGATATGCTGACTAAAAAAAAAGTATTAATTGTAATTAATTGCATAAATCAGTATCAACTGAGAAAAGCCCCCCAAAATAATTAATGTCAAAAATTAAGTAATTATTAAATTTTTAAATGAAATTACATTTAGAAATCATCACTATTTTGACATCACAAGCATTAGAACTTTAACATATGAATGCTCACATTTATATAAAAGGAGTTTGGTACTAATTTTACATGCAAAATGATTAGCCAATCATAGCAGAAGTAATTTGCATATTAAAGACTTGAAGGGGCAGGTGCAAAAACAGCCTATTTTATTATAATGGTCAGAGAAAAGGTGGAGACAACATATCTAATATTTGATATTGTATTTAAGTTATTTTTTTTTATCAACACTGGTTCTTGTTTGTGTCAGGCGAGGTAAAGATGAATTATCTGTGCAAGCCCTATGTGGCGGTGGTGACCACCTATCAGATGGCCGTTCTGCTGGCGTTCAACAACAGCGAGACTGTGAGCTACAAAGAACTGCAGGACAGCACGCAGATGAACGAGAAGGAGCTCCAGAAGACTATTAAATCCCTGCTGGACGTCAAGATGATCAGTCACGACTTGCAGAAAGTAAGTTTGAGATCAGTTCATTCGTGGCTCATGCAACCAGTCATTTTTGTTTATTTTTAACTGTTTGATTTTTAATCAAACTGTTCATTGATTTATCATGATTAGATTCCCTCTTTCTTTTTGCCTCCAGGAGGAGATCGAAGCCGAATCCACGTTTTCCTTAATTATGAGTTTCACCAGTAAAAGAACAAAGTTCAAGATCACAACATCGATGCAAAAGGACACGCCACAGGTACAGAATCTCTAGGGCTGGGTTTTGACACAAATTTTTCAATTCGATTCTCATTCACAAGCTTGCGATTCGATTACCGATTCAAAAAAATGCCAAATTTTCTCAAGGAAACAAATCTCTCAACTAATGCTGTAAAATATACATGAGAGTCAGTTGGTACTACATTACTATAATATTGAAGGTTAAAAATTGACTGATTTGTTAAAATTACACTTAAAGGGATAGTTCACCCAATTTTATTTTGTGCTGAAACTGATATTAATGTGGAGGAGATGATCGGTTCACGTGCGCCTCCACATTAAACAGCGCCAAAACGACATTTATTGTTTGAATACTCGATTAATTTCGAGATATCTATATTTTTTACCCAGCCCTACGAGTCTCACGTTGAGCAGATGTCCTAAGTCGATGCCATTATATATCTAGTCATATAAACCCTGTGATGTCATTTGTGTGCGTCAGGAGCTGGAACAGACGAGGAGTGCCGTGGAT